ATATATATATATATAATTGATGGCTCATTAGCATTTAATAAAACTTATTAAATTATACCTATGTGGCAATATAAATTTTCCCTCTAAAAACCTTTACTTTTTTTTTATTTAACATCTCATTTAATTATTAGATAATCAACACACGAATCACTTCAAAATGTTTAAACTTTTGATTACTTAAAGCTGACCATATAATGTGTCGACTATTTAACGTGATTAGATGTTATTGTTGTTGTTACGTTTAAATTAGTTTCTTTTGGAAAATAATTTGAAATTCCTAAATAAATAATAAATAATTCACAAAAAAAAATACATACCAAAATATATATTGCATCCAATATGATAAATGCAATTTCAAAAAAATAAATATTCTTGCTCCTATGTAAATTTGGACTGTAAAAAGTGCAAGAATTAATAATCATTATATGCATATAAATAAATCACAATACTTTATTTATATCTATGCAAGCACAAGTCGAATACTAGTTTTTGTAAATATTAACAATATGACCGAAAATCTTGTTTTTGTTTGATGTACTAGAAAAATTATTGTATCAGTTTTTGATTAATTTAAAAACTAATTACCTAAATTTATGAGAAAACGTATCAGTTTCTAAAACCGGAATCCCTATTTTTATGGTAAAAAAATTCTCTTCATTTCATTGTAACTGCAAACTCTAACCTTCAAACAAAACAGACCCCGGCAAAAAACCAAAATCAGAGGAAGTACTTACAGCGGCGCCGGAAATTCTCCTTACAGGATATAAAAACTCTAAACCTCAAGCAAAACAAACAATGGCAAAAAACCAAAAACGGACAAAGTCCTTACAGCGGCGTTGGAAATTCTCCTCACAGGAGATCGAGTTAGCGTCTCAGTATATGACATGTATGTCTATATAAGTTCAACATATGTTATGTATAAGTTCACAACATGTTGTTTTGTCCCTTTCAAAACGAACTGTTTTATGTTCAATATATGCCAAGTATATATATTCAGTAAAAAAAATTATTTCACAACTGATTTTCTACCTTTACAAAATGTATGGTTGTGTCTAGTATATGATATGTTATGTATCTGTTCAGTATATATTATGTATAAATTCACAACATGTTGTTTTGTACTTTCAAATATATGTTTTATGTTCAGTATATGCTAAGTTTATATTAAAAAAAAAACAAAAAAATACTTGTTTGATTTCGTATATTTTACAACGTTTGTTCATCAACATAGACTAGTGTTCACGATCGTGTAATTTGTATATATTTATAAGATGATGTAGTTTGAAATTCAAATTCCTTATATTTCTATTTTGTATTGAAACAACATCCTAATTTGAGGATTTATAAACTTACCATATAGAATATATTTTTACCATATAAATTACATTGAATCATGAAAAAGGTAGATCACTTACATATGT